CAGGAAGTAATGAACTGGGAAAAGTGCAGATATCATTCATTGACTATTCATACAAAACTTATGTATTGAGTATCTACCATGTGCCAGACAATGAGAAAAGGTGGTATTTTAGACTAAGGTGTTAATGGTGGAGATAGTGAAAAGTGATTGGATGCAGGGTGTTTTGAAGGTAGATTTCACATAACTTGCATATGTAGAGTGTGGGGATATGAAAGAAAGGGAGAAGTTAAGGATGACTTTGAGGTTTTTGACAATAATTGGGAGAATGACAGTGCCTTGTTAAGATTCAGTTGAGTATGAAAGATAGGGTTTGGAGGGAAAGATCAAGAGCTCAATTTCGGACATATTCAGCCTGAGATGCCTATTAAAATCCTAGTGGTAATGTCAGGGAAACAAACTGGAGTTCAAGGGAGAGACTGGGCTGGTGTTACAAATATGCAAGTCATCAGCATACAGATGTGTTTGAAGCCACAAGACTGGATGAGGAAATGATGAAGACATAAAAAAATAAGGATTCCATCCAAAGACTGAGTTCATGACACTCCAAATTTTAGAGTTATGAAAGAGGAGGGGGTTTCTTCAGAGTTCACTATGAAGAAGTGACTAGTGAGATAAGAGGAAAACCAGGAGAGGAAACCTATTGTTTCAAGAAGAAGAGAGTGGATAAACTGTGTAAAATGCTACTGAGAAACAGAATAGAGGTGGACAAACAAGTGACCCTGAGACTGAATTATGTTCCTGGCTGTTTTCTCTTTTATACTGGGAGCAGCGCTGAGGTCAGAGACTGCCAGATGAATCTGTTTAACCTAAGTATCTAGCACTGACCTGGTGCACAACAGGTGCCTTGGGAAAAAAATATATGGACTACATCACTGAAAAAAAAATAAAAGAAAACCAGGCAGCAGTGAACACTTGAAAGAGCCACAAACTGGGAGTGAGTAGCTCTTTCTTCCACTAGCTTATTGTACCTTTTGTCCTGGCCTTAACATCTATAAAGGGATTGTCCTCAAAATACTTTCAACCAGGGTCTAAGACACTTCTTGAGTCAGGCTTGATTTTCTATGAAAGTCTTAGGCTGGTTGTTTAACTTGTGGATGAGGAGAAAAGAGACCTAGAAGTATACCATGATTGATGTTGGGCTTTTAATAGAATCATTGTGCCTGACTCTTGGTTTAAAAATCTACCTCCTTGAGGATCCCACTTTCCATTTAGGACCTCTGCTTATCTGTTTTCTTTTTGTCAGATACATGGTCTGATGTCTTCCTCACCCATCCCAGTCCTGTCATCACAATTGTTTGGTCTTCCCTGTTCATCCCCACAGCAGCTATTGCAAACCTTCTGGCCTCCTCCAAAGTCTGCATCTATTGCTGCCTGGTGCCTCACTCATTTCACTGAGAATGCTGAGGTTTCATACGAGTGAACCTCTTCAACTGTCTCTCACTGTAGCCCACCCCCTTCTAGAATGTTTGTCTATCACCTTTTTCTCTCCTAGTCTGCTCATCAGTGGACCCCCTGCTGTGTGCTTGACAAGCCTCTTCTCACCAGCTCTTGTATCTAGACCCACCCATTACATCCATCCTTCATGAGCTCCAGCTTTAACTGGAGTTGGTCACAAGCACAGATATTTTCAGTATCTATTGAATCCCCCCTTAAAACCTTTGTACTCATTTTATTATCTTTCTGCAAAAGGATAAAAACAAAAGCAATTTAGAGAAACTGTTGCAACCCCATATGATTCAGTCCCTACCTTATTTCTCTCTTTTCTCTCTCAGTTAAGACTGTAGAGTTAGATACATTCTCTATCGTTTGTTCCTCACCTCCTACTAGTTATTCTGAAACCCTGAAAATTATGCCTTCTTTTCCCACCACTTCTGAGGCTGCTCTGGATAAGGTAACCAGTGAGGCCCCTGTTGGTGAATGTAGAACCCTTCCAGCTTTCATCTCAAGGAAAAGAAGATGCAGGCTCTGCATTTTCCTGCTCTTCCTGACATGGGGGCAGGGTGCTGGCCTTGCAGATTTCTCCCTTCCTTAGACTCTTCCACGAGTCCTGTCCTCCTCAGACTTCTCCATTTGATCAGTTCTTCAAACCACGTGTCACCTTTGTAGCTTTTCAGAGTTCTCCCTCACCTTCCTCTCTGCTCTTATGCTATGGGAGGATGGCTCATCCCTTTGTGAGAGCTTTAACTTCCAGCAAGCCCTGATGGTGTCCATGTCTCCCCTGTAGTCCAGATTTCAATGAGTGTGGGGCCAGTCAAAGTCTGCTGTAGCAGGCCTGGAGTGATAGTGAATGCTCGAGACCAGAACAAGGCCTTGGGTACAGATGGCAGTACTTGGACAGATCTTTGACACTTTGAGGAGACAACTGCCTAAGCATTTCAGAGTGCTTAAATGTGATAATCGAAGAAAACAAGAAGTATGGTTGACATAGAGGTTTTTGGCTTAGGTGACTGGGTAGAGGGCAAGCCCTTCTATGAGGTGGGTAAATTGGAGGAAAAGCCAATTTGTATTTAATGGTGTCAAGTTCAGTTTTTAATCTATGTTGGGTTTGAGGTGCCTCAAAAGAGAAGCAGCTGGAGATACAGGAGGGCAGATAAGGAGAGATGCCTTGTTTGCAACATGATGGCAACTGAAGACTTAAGACTAGATGAGATTTCTTTTAAAAATAATTATTCATTTTTAGAGAGAGGGGAAGGGAGGAAGAAAGAGATGGAGGGAAACATCAATGTGTGGCCACCCCTTGCACACCCCACACTGGGGACCTGGCTCACAACTCAGGCATGTGCCCTGACCAGGAATCAAACCAGCAACCCTTTGCTTTGCAGTCCAGTGCTCAAACCACTAAGCCACACCAGCCAGGGCTAGGTGAGGTTTCTTGAAGAGAGTATGAGAATCTCTGGCCTGTTCCCTTGCAAGTGATCTGAAGGAGCAGTTCTGATGTAGGAGCAGGTGTATGGCAAATCAGCCGCCTCTGGGCAGCTAGACTCAGGGAAGGGCTTGTTCCTTGCAAAGAAAGATCAGGGATCATGGGAGAAGAATCTCTCTTGGTATCAGAACCTTAGAGAGGGCATAACTTGTGTTATAGCCTCTGAGCTACCCTCTTGTGGGCTCAGGGTCACTTCTATTGGGGATCATCTGTTAGGAGGGGAAGAATCCAAATGCTGGCAGGCAAGTCCTACACAGTCTCTCTATCAGAGAGAGATGTTCTCCCAAGTCCTCTGCCTAGTGTTCTCAGCCTCCCCAGGCTGTCCTTGGCCTCCTCTGCCCTTTTCTTGAAAGCACAACTCACTCTCTAGCCCAGACCCAGCCTCCACACACCAGTATCCCCTTCGTCCCTGCAATTGACTTGTGTTTCACTGTCTCTTCTCTACCTTTACCCTTCATTCAATGTAGTATAGCCCCTCTTAATCTTTAGGCTTCCAGAAGGCTAGCCCTGAAAACCTGATCAATATGAGTGGCTTCAGCTTTGTTTGTGTTGCTTGGATATTTCTGTCTCCATGGTCGGCTGCCTCTAGGGCCCAACCATATTCCTCTTTCTCAGGTGCCCTTATTATAATCCCAGTGCTGTAGTCCCACAGAGAGCACCAGGTGAACATCTCTGAGGCTGTTTGTTATTACCACTCACCACAGAGGTCAACATGCCTGTTATTGTCATGGTGACAGCTCCAGAGGCTGGAACAAGCTCGGGGAAGGTGCGCCAGCAACAGGGGCCACAGGCAATCTAGTGCATGTGCTGACCACTTCTGACCAAATCTGGTAGGGCATACCAACAAGCCTCAGCAGGGAAGAGCTGCTGTGAGTCTCTTTTGCTCCAGCCTACCTGACTTCATGACAGACACTTTGGAACACAATCTTCTGTCTCTCTTCTGGCTTTTTCCCTCTCAAGCTGCTTCTTCTCAGTCTGTTTTGTAGAAACCACCTACTCTACTCTGCCCTGGATCCTCACTCTGTATTATTTTCCTGCATGATCCCACCCACTTGCTCTCCTTTGATCCCCACACTCAATCCTTCTCTGAGTGCTGTTCATTCTCCTTCCTAAATATTTTTCCATTCTGCCCTGTGTCAGGCTTCAGTGGCACCATCTTTCCAGCCTTCTCCCTATCCCTCATTTCTACTCTTGCTCCCCCTATAATCTAGTCTCCATGTAGCAGCCACATGGATCTTTCTAGAATATAATGCTGTCCTTGTCATGTTCCTGATCAGTCCTTCCAAGACTCTCATATCCCAAAGGAAAGAGTCCTGACTTGGACCCCTGCCCAAGAATCCTATTGGAGCTCTCCCTTCCCTCCTTCTCACTCCCTTCCCCACCCATGGGGCTCCTATCTGTTCCTCAGCCTGAGTGATATTATTTCAGGGTGGTGGAGTGAATGATACTTGAGCTGAAAGGAAGGAACCCCAGAGACCATGCCCCTGGTTGAAAAAGTCAGTGAAAAATGGGACTCCTACCTGAAGAGCATGAGCTCTGGGAAGGTCTTTGGTTAGGAGAACCATAAAGCACTGGTTAAAGAACCATAAGTCAAAGAGATACATCTCCTCCTGTGGAGCAGGAGTTTGGGGGTAGTTGTTGCTCTGGAGGTGTTCAGCAGCCAAACATCTGCAAAGATGTTCGTATGCCAAACATCTGCAAAGGCAGAGCACCATAGATAGCTTAGTTTTCTTCCTTGTTTTGTATTAGCTCTGATAGTTCATATGTCAAAAATTTCAATGGAGTAAAAGAAAAACACATTTTGCAACTTAGCACCATTTGCCTTTTCAATGATCTATCAGAGTGGGAATAGCACTATCATCTTCTTGGTGCTTGAACCCTGACATTTAGACAATGCTGGGTCCCCTTGCCCTGAACTGCCATAGTAGTACCCAGAGGTGCTGGTGTTTGCCAGATGGGCCCTGGTTCTCTTTTCACTGCTCTGTTGCAACTCTGACTTATATGGGTGCCAGAGTCCTTTGTGACATTCCTCTTTGCCCTCTCCCTGGCAGGTGAGGGTCCCAGTTGTACATCGAAGATGACAGAAAAATCTAATGGTGTGAAGAGCTCTACAGCCAATAACCACAACCATCATGCACCTACTGCCATCAAGACCAATGGCAATGATGACCAGGGGACCAGTAGCAGGTGAGTCTCCTGAAGCTGAGTCATATCAGAGATGGTCTTTAGGCTGCTACTTCCTCCAAGCTCTGCCTCATTGTCACAGAGTAAACAATCTTTGACTCAAGAAGACATCCTCTAAAGGAACCATGGAGTGTCTAGGCGCCTCGCAGGAGGAGACAGTGCCAATAGGAAACAAGGTATGCTCAGGGAACCTTTCGACAGCTGCTTCTTCCTCTGTAGGCCACAGTCTGCGGCTGAAGATGACACATCCTCAGAACTGCAGAGGCTGTCAGAGATGGATGCCCCCCAGCGGGAGAGAGGTGGTTTCCGCAGGTGGGTTCCACCACAGTCCTGCTGTTACACCCTCCCACCCTTGGGGTCTGTCAAAGTGGACACCATGGCTCTCCTTCTTTCAGTCCCACTGGGATTTTCCATGAAGACATCTGGGAAGTGCTATCAGTGCTGTCATTGCTTAACTGTTTTCTCCTGAGGAAGCTTATCTGAATAAGCTTGGAGTGGCCAAAGGAGGCTTCCTTTTAGATTTGCTTGTCTCAGTATTACAGGGGAGGGATACTTCCCAGCAGAAGGGCCTATGTACAGGGCCTTGAGGCCTGTAGCCCAGGGCTGTAGGTTTTAAAGGGAAATCAGGAAACTTGGAACAACCTTCCTCCTGGCCTGTCCTCCCTTAGGACAAACTCCATCTTGCCTTGGAGACCTCTTATTTGTTTTTCACAACCAACTGAGATGGCACCTCTTACAGGAAGTCTTCCCCTTCACCTCAGGCTGCATTCTGAGTCATGACTGAGCCCCATCTACCTGCTCTCAGCCCTGGCCTTGATTCCAGTTCTTAGCACTGGGAAATAATGGCCTGACCCATTTCCCATCTTGTTTATCAGACACCAAGCTCTTGGGCATAGGTTCTGAACACACAATTCTCTCTGGCTCATAATCCCTCTCTCACCTCTAGGATCGTCCGCCTGGTGGGGGTCATTAGAGACTGGGCCATTAAGAATTTCCGCGAGGAGGAACCAAGACCTGACTCATTCCTTGAGCGTTTTCGTGGTCCTGAACTCCAGACCGTGACAACACAGCAAGGGAATGACAAAGGCAACAAGGACGGCGAGGGCAAGGGCACTAAGTATACCTGTCCAGCCTGTGGAACTGGAAGGGCTCCCAAGCATACAATTGGAGGGCTCAGTGGGGTTTCTTATGTCACCAGCATGGGCAGACTGGGGTCTACACCAAACCCTGCCATGGCAGGGAAAGGGGTGGGCAGAGAAGACCTGCTATAGTTTTAACTCTAGAATATTTCCATTGTCCCAGCCAACAGTTTTTACAACAGCCAGTGGCCAACTTGCCACAAGAGCCCCTAGTGGCTTTTCTCACCTAAGCTCCCCCTTGCCAAGTATCCTCTCACTGCTCATGAAGCAAGTAGCAAGAGCACCTGCATGTAGGCAGGGGGAGGGCTCAATTGAAGCCTCTGTTCCAGCAGTTATAGAGAAGAGCACTATTATGGACTACTGTTGAGAGTGTTCCCATACCAATGCCAGTATGGGTGCAGAGTTGGGCCTTTAAAGAGATCATGCTGGAGACCCACTGGCAGGGAAGGCCTAGGAACAATTCAGCAGGACAGGGTGGGGAGAAAGTAGAGCTGGAAGGTCTGTTCTCAGAAGAATGAGCAGGTGATTGTGGATGTCTGGCCAAGCCGATGTTCCTCACCTCTGGCCAGTGCATTATAAGAATTCTTTCCAAGGTGGGATACACCATCTGGGAAAGTGATTTGGGGGCTAGAGATCAAGCAGTAAATGGGGATGAGGGGGTGGGGGACATGGGGTGGGAAGGAAGCACGTGGCACTCATTTGCTTGGAGTTCCTCTCTCTAATTCCAGCCCCCAGGAGGGTTGTAGGAACAGGTCCTGAGACCTTATTACGATTCTGTAAAAGTCCCTCTCTAGGCTCTGAAGCCCAACCCAATAATAGCACTGTCCCTTCTCATTCACTCTGGACAAGGGGGCCTCCAGAGGTATGGGAGCCCATGGGCCCATTGGAGGTTAAATAAGAGAAAGGGTGTCCTTTGCCCATCTAAGCTCTTCTCAGATTCCTAGCACCAGGTTGTGGTTCCCTGAGAAACAGGGCCATAAGCCAACCTATCCATCATCCTGCATATCCCCTTAAGTATTGCTTTTTAGGAACCCTTGAACTCTAGGAGTAGGGGTATTACCACACTGGGAGCCTGGTCCCCAAGCCTGGCCTTTGTCTCCTCAGGAAGAAATTTCAACTATTTGTCTTAGACCCAGCTGGGGACTGGTACTACCGCTGGCTGTTTATGATTGCCATGCCTGTCCTCTACAACTGGTGCCTGCTGGTGGCCAGGTGAGTAGAGAGAGTCTGGGAAGGGGTAGCCAAAGTAGCCCAGAGTCTACAGGCCCTGGGGTTGAGAGCACACTAGTCCTAGCTGTGGACATAGAACTTATCCCAAGCCAGCCCTGTTTCTGGATTCCCTGCTTGCTTGCCTATCGTACCTCCTTCTGCCCTGTTAAAGATCCCTTTGATTTAATATGCTACCAAAGCCTTATGTCTATCTTTTTATCCTTTTCCCTGGCATCTGTAATATGTTCCTACTTTTCCATTGCCACCAATACTGTCCTACCTGAGGCCACTCTCCTCTCTTCTTAGCACAACTATAACAGCCTCATACTTCTTTGCAGGCACTCTTGCCCCTACAGCTTATCCTCCACACTTGCAACTGTGGTTGATAGGAACTGGAATTTGATTATGTCATTCCCTCCACACAAACTTGTCAATGGCTCCCTATTGCCCACAGGATGAAGCTCAAAGCCCTCAGGGTGGCCTTCAAGGCCCTCTGGACCTGGCCTTCTCTCTAACTCCACCTTCTGGACACACCCAGCCCCATCATTCACTATTTCTGGATCACAACATGGTGCTTCCTCAAAACAAAATTTCCTCTCCCAGTTTTTAGCTTATGGAGATTCTTCTCGTAGTCTCAGTTCCAAAGCCAATCTCCACATTAGCTTTCCCTGACAGCATTTCCCACCCCACATATCTCCCAACCCACTCACTCATTAAGCAAGGATTTGACTGACCACTAGGCTGACTGTGACTCATCAGTTCCCCTGGTTCCCATCCCATGCTCTGCACTCAGTTGGGGTCCTCTAGGGGCCCTTGGATAGCTTTGAGGTTACAGCCTAGCCCTGTTTTCCTATAGAGCCTGCTTCAGTGACTTACAGGAAAGCTACTACCTAGTGTGGCTGGTGCTGGACTACTTCTCAGATGTGGTCTATATTGCAGACCTCTTCATTCGATTGCGCACAGGTAAGTAAACAACTGAGATGAACAGGCAGAACCATGACCCATATGTCCAAAGGCCTGAGTCCAAAATTTCAGGAAACTATCTTAACATAGTGATAGACTCAAGTACCTGGCTGGGACTTAGGTTAGTGCCTGCTCCTTTTTGAACCTCTTGGTCCTCCCATGCTTAGTGAGGTACAGACCAGGGGATGTTCTGTTAAGGTACTTCTGGTTAGCCTTGCTTTGTGAGTTTCCTGTGGGAACTCAACCCTTGGGAAGGAGGGTTGGATGAGCAGTTGTCCCTTGCTGAGTGTTAGCCCATCAGGAGGGAGAGGCCTTAAAACATAGGTGATATGTTTCTGGGCTTGCATCTCTACTAGGTTTCCTAGAACAGGGGCTGTTGGTCAAAGATCCCAAGAAGCTGCGGGACAACTACATCCATACTCTGCAGTTCAAGCTAGATATAGCTTCTATCATTCCCACAGACCTGGTCTATTTTGCTGTGGGCATACACAGCCCTGAGCTTCGTTTCAACCGCCTTCTACACTTTGCCCGTATGTTTGAATTCTTTGACCGAACTGAGACACGCACTAGTTACCCCAATATCTTCCGCATCAGCAACCTGGTTCTCTACATCTTGATCATCATCCACTGGAATGCTTGCATCTACTATGCCATTTCCAAGTCCATTGGCTTTGGGGTTGACACCTGGGTTTATCCCAATATCACTGATCCTCAGTATGGCTACTTGGCTAGGGAATACATCTACTGCCTTTACTGGTCTACACTGACCCTTACTACCATTGGGGAGACACCACCTCCTGTAAAGGATGAGGAGTATCTATTTGTTATTTTTGACTTCCTGATTGGTGTCCTTATCTTTGCCACCATTGTGGGAAATGTGGGTTCCATGATCTCCAACATGAATGCCACCCGAGCTGAGTTCCAGGCCAAGATCGATGCAGTCAAACATTACATGCAGTTCCGAAAAGTCAGCAAGGAGATGGAAGCCAAGGTCATTAAGTGGTTTGACTACCTTTGGACCAATAAGAAGACTGTGGATGAGCGGGAAGTTCTCAAAAATCTGCCGGCCAAGCTGAGGGCTGAGATAGCCATCAATGTCCACTTGTCCACACTCAAGAAAGTGCGCATCTTCCAGGATTGTGAGGCTGGCCTGCTGGTGGAGTTGGTATTGAAGCTTCGTCCTCAGGTCTTCAGCCCTGGGGATTACATTTGCCGCAAAGGGGATATTGGCAAGGAGATGTACATAATCAAAGAGGGCAAGTTGGCAGTAGTGGCTGATGATGGTGTCACTCAGTATGCCCTGCTCTCAGCTGGGAGTTGCTTTGGAGAGATCAGTATCCTTAATATTAAGGGTAGCAAAATGGGCAATCGACGCACAGCCAATATCCGCAGCCTGGGCTACTCAGATCTCTTCTGCTTGTCCAAGGATGACCTCATGGAAGCTGTGACTGAGTACCCTGATGCCAAGAAGGTCTTGGAGGAGAGGGGTCGAGAAATCCTTATGAAAGAGGGGTTACTAGATGAGAATGAGGTGGCAGCCAGCATGGAGGTGGATGTGCAAGAGAAGCTCGAACAGCTGGAGACCAACATGGAGACCTTGTACACTCGCTTTGGCCGCCTGTTGGCTGAGTACACAGGGGCCCAGCAGAAGCTCAAACAGCGCATCACGGTTCTAGAAACCAAGATGAAGCAGAACAATGAGGATGATTACCTTTCTGATGGGATGAACAGCCCTGAGCCAGATGATGCTGAAAAGACATAAGGGCTTGGGCCTAACTGCCTCTCCAACCTTGGCCTTGACCCCAGGAGCTAGAAGAGCTGTGTAGGTCTTCAAATTTGAATACATTATCCCCATGTCACCTTGAATTCTCCCTAAAGCCTCTCTGTCACCAGGTTTTTGGCTCAATCACCCAAGAGCCCTCCTCTAAGTCCAGCTAACAGCTAAGCTTTTGCACAGTCAAGACTGTGTTGGCTTGCTTTCCAGGAGCTTTAGCCTGTTCCAATCTGAAGAAGTGAGAGAGGAGCAGCTGAACTTTCTTCAAGGGGCCTCTCCTGGGACTGGGAACCTAGGCAATAATCTTCTCTGAAGAAGCCCATCTGCAGATGGAATGGTGTGCACTCTGCTGCAGCACTCTCTTATCTCTGGGCACCTTTGCACCTAGCCACTTCCTGCCTTGCTCTGGCCCTTGCCTTTTCTAATATATGTTCTGAATATCCCCATTCCCATGCACATGTATGTAATTTAAACAGTGGTTTTAGACATTTAACACAGGTACCAAGTGTCTGTCCCCTAAAGCAGGAAAAGGGTGTGAAGCGGGTAGGGAGGAGGGTGCTCACTTAGGGATGCCTCTCCCTGCCAGGCACTCCAACTCCTGCTCTATTGATCTGTCTATCTGCCAGCCAAGAGTGAAATTTCCACAGTCTTCTCTGGACCAGAGAGATGGTGATGCTTCTAGCTTCTGGTCCACTCCAGGGCAGAGAATGAGGAGCAAGGTAACTGGCAGTCAGCTAGCAGGCAATGCCACCAGGAGGAAGCATCCTGGAGCTCTGGCCATCTCTCTATGCAAAATATTCCAAAGAGGCCCTGAGGGCTGGTGGTGGGTGGGAGACTCTTCAAGCCAATATCTGCAGTAGAGGTACATACAAATTAATAAATTCCTTTGAACCATTTGTGCTTATTGCTCAGCTTTGCTATTCACATTCTTTCCCTTCCTCTCTCAACTCCTCTTCCCCCCCCCCCATACTTCTCTTTCCCCCTTATCCTGGACTCACTTATCTAGAATACCCTCTACTGTCTTTGTCCACCTGTCTAAACCCTACTGGTCCCTTAGGGTTAAGCTCAGGTACCACACCTTCTTGGAGAAGGGCCCCTGACTGTACTTGCTCCTATGTTATGCAGTCAATCACCCACTCTAAGCAGTCACAGTGCTTGTTGGCTCATAGCACACTATGTGGTTCATTTTGAGGGACCTGGTTTCCCCTGCAGATTGTGGGCTCTGAGAGCAGGGCCAGTACAGTCTCCCTCACTGTTCTGTCTGTAGCCTTAGCACAGAGGAGAATGTTTATTCAACATGGCAGTAATGAAACACACCAAAGCATTTATGCTTCTATTTGCCAGCAGCAATATCTCAACAGAAATACTGACAATGTTTAGGAAGTTGGGGAGGATCTCCTAGAGGAGCAAATATTTCAGTGGGTACCACTGGATGATCAGGAACCTAAAGTGCAAGTGCTAATTAGTGGGCAAAAAGAACTAGATGCAGACTCAGATGTCTTTGTGCAGTTCTCCCCACCCCTTAACTGGGGTACAATACACACAAAATTTGCCATTTTGAATATTTTTAAGTGCACAGTTTGGTAGTGTGAAGGACATTCACATTGTTGTAAAACATATTTTCAGAACTTTTTTATCTTTCCAAACTAAAACTCTGCCCAATTAAATAGCTTTTCTTCCCTCTGCCACCTAGTCCCTGGCACAGTGTTGTACTTTCCATCTCTATGAACTTGACTACTTGAGATACTTTATAAAAATGATATCATACACTATTTATCTTTTTTGTGGCTGGCTTATTTTACTTAGTATAACGTCCTTAAAGTTCATCCACGTTGTAGCATGTGTCAGAATTTCATTCCTTTTTAAGGCTGAATAAATATTCCATTGTATTAAAACCACATTTTGTTTAGCCATTCATCCATCAATGGACATTTGGGTTGTTCCCATCTTTTGGCTACTATGAATAGTGCTGCTATGCACACACATGTACAAATATATGTTTAGGTTTATGCTTTCATTTCTTTTAAGTAGATGGAATTGCTCCATCATATATAGTAATTCTATTGTGTTGGCCAAAAAGTTTGTTTGCTTTTTTCTGTAAGATGGCTCTAGTAGTGCTTAGCTGTCTTTAACTTCATTGAAAACAATTTTAGATTGTATTGTGACAGTTGTAATATCAGCATGCATTTAAAAAAACATCAAAATTGGTGAATTTTTGTATAGCTATTTTAATATTGAAGATGGAAGAAAATACACATTTTTGGCATATTATGCTTTATTATTTCAAGAAAGGTAAAAACAACTGAAATACAGAAAAATATTTGTGCAGTGTATGAAGAAGGTGTTGTGACTGAGAAAATGTGTCAAAAGTGGTTTGTGAAGATTTCTGGAGAAATCTGGAGATTTCTTGCTGGATGATGCTCCACAGTCAGGTAGACCAGTTGAAGTTGATAGTGATCAAATCAAGACATTAATTGAGAACAATCAATGTTATACTGTGCAAGAGATAGCTGATGTCAGCTATCCAAATATCCAAATCAAAAAAGTTGTTGGTGCCCTGGCTAGGGTAGCACAGTGGATTGAGCACAGGCTGCGAACCAAAGTGTCGCAGGTTTGATTCCCAGTCAGGGTACATGCCTGGGTTGCAGGCCATGACCCCCAGCAACCTCACATTGATGTTTCTCTCTCTCTCTCTCTCTCTCTGTCTCTCTCCCTCCCTTCCCTCTCTAAAAATAAATAAATAAAATCTTAAAAAAAGGCTCAAATGGAAGTACAAATCAAAGCTCCAGAGCCAATACTTAAAAAAAAAGTTATTGGTGAAAATGAAAAATGTGTCTTTTATTTAAAAAAAAACATATGGACTTTTTGGCCAACCCAATATTTTAAATTTTTTGAGGAACCACCATAGTGCTTTCTATAACAACTGCTTCACTTTACATTCACATCAACAAGTGCACAGGCTACTAGTTTCTTCACATCCTCACCAACACTTGTTTACTGTTTTTAATAATAGCCTTTTTGTGGGTATGAGGTGGTATTTCATTGTAGTTTTGATATTCATTTCCCTGATGATTACTTATGTTAAACATCTCTTCATATGCTTGTTAAGGCCATTTGTCTTCTTTGGAAACTGTCTATTTAGTGTTTAAATTTTTTTATTTATGTATTTTTAGAGAGAGGAGAAAGGAGGGAGAAAGAGAAGGAAAGAAATATCAATGTGCAGTTGCCTCTCGCGCACGCTCTACTGGGGACCTGGCCTGCTACCCAGGCATGTGCCCTGACTGGAAATCAAACCAGCGATCCTTTTGTTCACAGGCCAGCACTCAATCAACTGAGCCACACCAGCCAGGGTTGTAGTTAGTCTTCTGTACGTTTTTTACTTGTGATGTTTGGTTTTTCTTTTTGGTGTTGTGGTTTTTAAGTTGTAGGAGTTCTTTGCATATTTTGGATATTAACCCATGTCAGTTATATGATTTGCAAATTTTCCCTATTCTATACATTGCCTTTCCACTCTGATGCTCGTGTCCTTTGATGCACAGTTTTAAATTCTGATGTAGCCTATTTATCTTTTTTACTTTTGTTGCATGGTTTTTGGTGTCACCATTCATTTTTATTAGAATTAATTTTTATAGCCTTTATAAAAAAGATCTTATTTATTTATTCGTAGAAAGAGAGAAGGGGAAGGAGAAAGAGAGGGAGAGAAACATCAATGTGTGGTTGCCTCCCACGTGCTCCCCTCTGTGGACCTGGCCCACAACCCAGGCATGTGCCCTGACCAGGAATCGAACCTGCAACCTTTTGTTTTGCAGGCAAGCACTCAATCCACTGAACCACACCAGCCAGGGGTCTAGCCTTTCTTTAAATTTATTGTAATTTCTTGTCCACTTCCCTGGTTTACAGTAATAAATTTTAACCAAGGGTAGACTCACTTGAAGGGATCTGTAACATTATCCACACCTAAGCTTTGTTTTCTGAGAATGGTAGCAAATAGGAATGCAGCATTCATGATGTAACAGTGTTCTGTATATGGTTTCCCTTTGAGTGCTGGGCTGGAGGAAAAGGCTCTAAACCCCTTTACTACAAGAGAGGTTGAACCAAAAGGAGGTGTAGTCCTTGGAGACCCAGCCAACTGCTTGCCCAGATGCTCATTGCTAAAGGTACACTAAAGAGCTCAGTTTTCACCATATGCTGGAACTTGGAGTAGATGTTAGTTTTGCAGCCCTAGGATGGCACTGCACCAAGAGGCAGAGGGATAACTGTATTGACAAATGTTTCATTTGTTTCTGCAATAAATCTGCAGCATTTCTTCCTGGAGCCTGGATCACCCTCAGTGCAGTCCCAAAGGGTGCCTGATTTCCAGCCTGCTTGAATTGGGAAGACATTGCACCTTGAATCTGGTTTATCCGAGGGCAAAGCAGGTGGTCATCTGGGTCACACGGGGAACCCAATGGCTTGGTATGCACACTTCAGTCTCAGCTCTCATCCTCTCCCAGCTTCCTTTCCCTCAGACATCCTTGGGTCCAATTACTCATGATTTTTTGCCTATGTTCTTTTAAGCTTCTAGGACCTTTCTTATGCTGATTATGCTGCCTGAATCCTCCTTTTCTTCCTCTGACCCTCAGTTCACAGGATCCTCCTTTGAGCCCCACCATAGCCTTCTATGCGAGACATCCTTTTACACTGGACTGCAAGTATCTATTTAGCAATTGCTCTCTTTTAATCTAAACACAGTTTGTTCATTGAGAAAAGGATGAAGTAAGAAAAAGACTACCTGTGTGTGTGTATGAGAGAGAGAGAGAAAATTTGTGTGTGTACACCAGCATGGACACCTGTAGATGTGGTGTGGATGGTGTGTGTGCTTTCTGAGTACCTGGTTGTCAGCCTAGTCAGACAGTGTCTATTTCTGCTGCAGTTCTCCCAGCCCCCTTCCTGGTTGCTCTCTCTGTAAGTGTGACTCTCTCCTGCCTGTCACACCGGCTGCTTCCCTC